ATTCTTCTTGTATAGGTTTGCCATTATCTCATGGCTGGTCAAGTAAAAAGTGTGAAACCTTGCTTGAAGCAACTTCAGCAAAGCATCCAAACCATCATGATGCCTAGCTGGCCATCAGACGAAGGTATTTTAGTTTCACAAAGGATGAAAATTACAAAACAGTAATGTTACATTCTTTGTTCACTCAATTTTCTCTCATTTTCAGTGGTATCAAGTGGGAACACTGCTGAAATGTTTATATGGATGCCAAAAGAACACCTCTATGTATTAGTGTATCTAGTAACCGTCATGCATTCTATGCAAGCTGGGTATATGAACAAGGCTCAGGAATACACTGACAAGGCATTGGCGCAGATAGAGAAATTGAAGGGTGAGTCTTCATATCATGAAATACTATGGTTTAGATAAAGAGTACAGTGAGATAAAACACATTTTTTTCTCTCAAAATAAATTAATATAAATCTATTTTTGTTTGTTGAAAACATTCATTAGAACCAATAATGAGACCACTTTTTTTGAATAAGTTTTACCCACCATCTCTAATGATGACTACTTTTTAATAGTTTACACTCAACTTAATTGATCATTATTTTCTACTAATCGATTTTGGTATTCCTCTTGCAGTGCTAGACAACAAGCCTATTCTCTCAGTATTTCAACTGATGCTTTTAGAACATATTGTAATGTGTCGATTAGTTATGGGTAACAAGACATTGGCTCTCCAAGAAATCTCTCAGGCCTGCAATTTGTGCCAGCTGCAGCCCCATCTTCTTAAAACTCATCGTCCGCAGTTGCACACTATGCTTGGGTTATATGCTATGAGCATGAACTGCATGGAAGCAGCGGAGGTTCAATTTTCATCTGCCCTACAGTCTTCAAAGGAACGAGATTTGAGAACGTTTGCCAATTTAAACCTTGCTATAGTGTACCTTAGAGCCAAGAGAGAGCAAGAATTTGCTTCACTGCTTGATAGCATAAATCCAGAAAATCTTCCCACACATTCACACAGTTTAAGAGCTGCTGCGTACTATGTGCAGGGATTACAGTGTTTCTTCCAAGCGAGATACAATGAAGCAAAGCGATATTTAAGAGAAACATTAAAAATGGCCAATGCAGAAGATTTAAACCGACTTACATCATGCTCTCTAGTTCTTTTGGGTCATATATTTTTGTCTTTGGGGAACTCAAGAGAAAGTATGAACATGGTTACTCCAGCAATGCAGCTAGCCAGTAAGATACCTGATGTTCATGTTCAACTCTGGGCATCTGCAATTTTGAAAGGTATGGCAGCATTCTTGTAAGGCTCACTGAAATGTAGATAAACAATATTACAAAACAAATGATTTTCCTTTTCAGATCTGTACCGGACATCAGGGGACTCAGGCCATGAAAATGAGGCCTACTCTATGCACTGTAGCTTCTCACAAAGTCTTCTCAAGGACCACTTTACCTCATCAAAAATGATGGAGCACAATTTAATACAATGGACTGATGGCCCTTTCCCTGAAGTTTATAATGCCACACCATCTACATCATCTGGACTAATGTAACAAAGTGAACCAAGTCATTGTGAAAACTGTGCTGGTCGCAGCTCTAGGGGACTGTCTTAACATGTTCTCTCACTATCAAAATGTCCGTCAGGTTAATCAGTTCGCCCTGCTTTTATTCTCCTAACAGCAACAATATTTGCTTGTCTTCTGTTTTAAAATATATTGTGAGAATGCAGAAGTTTGACACAATCTGCTTGTAAAACATTTTTGTTTCTTCCAAGTTCTGTCTCAAAGTTTAATTCATTATTTATGTGTCGAGAATGAATATTATTTCATAAGATTGTTGAGCTTTCCTTTAATTAATTTTGCATGTAGTCTACTGTATAAGGTGTTAACTCATTATTTAAAGCTTCATCCATTTTCTTCATCAGTCAAAACGCCATAAAACAATACCTTGTATATCTCAGCTTTACAAGTTTCTTTAAGTCAAAACTAAAAATTTGTCAAAGAGTCAGTTCTGTGCATCTCTTTTGTTGCAATCACTGGTATGACATTTCTTTTGTCTCACATATGTTGTTGTGCTTTCTTCTTTGTTTCTTCAAGGTATTGTTTACATTTTGCACAATCCTGACAAAGAAGATCAGCTTGTACTTAATTAGCTTTGGCCTTCATAGATTACTAATATTGTGTACCTCTCTATTCAGTTAGCTAGTACAACAATGATCTTTCTATTTATTAAAAAAAATATTTAGTAGGTGCTTCACAATCATAGCTGAATCATGAAAACGTCTTTTCTTCCCTTAATCTTACACATTTTTTGTAGAGCAAATATACATTAAATATTGTTCTTTAAGTGAAGCTGAGAAAAAAAATAGCAACTGTCTGTTTGCTAGGGCTCAATTTAAATGACTTTTTCAGCTATGTTTGTGAGAATATGTTTTTAATCAGTGCACTTCATTGCAAAGTGTTCATTGTTATACTGTCCTGTCAAACTGAAGGGTACCTGATTTATCCATAATGTAGAGTATTTATTAATTTTTAGTGTGTATCCCATTGACTAGAATAGTGTACTTTTGAATACTGTATGAACATCCCTCTTTCTTTGTGGTTTGACATGGAAATATCAATGTTCTCAAAATTCAGTGATATGATATGCTTTTAGCAAGGGAGGGGGGGGACTGTATGAACCATCATGCAGATTTTAGAGGTGTGATGCAGAATATTTCAAGACTGATTTGTACTTTTTGTAGCTGTGGAACTACAATCTTTTCACTTAAGAAGCTGTATGGGGTTTATGAAAGTCTGCAACTTTTTAAAATTCTTAACAGTGGACAGTTAACTTTCCTCTAATTTTTTTTTTCCCTCAAGAAGAGGCTGAAAGCTATGGTTGCTCATGACAAAGATTGTTTGAGGCTATTATTCATTCTCTGTATGACGAAGTAATTAACACAGTGGCCACTTTTAGAAGCTCCCATGAATTTTGATCAGCATACTTGTGGTTTAAACAATAGTTAACTCGGAATGCCACACTTATGGGATTTTGTGGTCCTGCTGACATTAAACCCTCTGTGGACCAAAAGTTGTACTGGTATCTTGCATGATCTGCTCTTTGTGAGATGGAATTGCCCATTCGTAGGTGTTATGGGCTAAAATGGAGTCTGAAAATTCGAATTGAAGATTGCTATGGAATTTGTGATCTAGCAATTTAATTGAATCTTTGCCATGTTATGCCTCTTCTTGTTCAATTCTAATGTTAATGGAAAATCTCAACCAGATTTTAACAAATTAAGTTGGTTACCATTGTTATGTTATGAACTGTTTTATATCTTGAATGAATAGCACTGGCATTTATCAGTGTTAAGTACACTGTGCTCTACTGTGATGTAATAAACGTAAGCAATTACTTTATCTAAGTAAAAAGTTTGTTGTAGATTAATTTGTAGTAACCCCCAAAACATTTTCCTTAGTTTGCTACGTTTGCATTGATTAAGTTCTAAGTTTTTGATTTATGTACAGACAGAGATATTGTAAATAAAAGGCCATATATTGTATAAATTAACAACCACCCCTTAATTTCTTTTCGACCATTTAGTACCTCTCCTAGCCATATATTTTCTAAATCCATTAAAAATAAGTTGAGGTCAACCAGGAAATCAGATTTTATTTATAAATAAGTCTGTAAAATATGTAAAGGGGGGGAGTGGGGGTTGAAAATGGAATACTTGTAAAACCAGTGTTTGAGATGTCAATTAAAATACGAGACGATTTTAAAAATTTTATCAACTGAGTTCTTATTTTTAACAAAACGGGATGACATCTGTCATCACATAACATGATACATCAAATAAAACATATACAATTCTACAACAATTGAGGTCAAGCTAAAATATAAATTGCACATGATTTCTAAAATAACACACAGCTTATCACAACGGCGGCAAAGTACACAACATTCAATTATTTGTAGTTTGAATATTTTTAGGTACTTACAATCTTACATTCCTAAGAATACAATACATAAAAGAAAAGAAAAGTAACAATTTGGCTTAACCACCGGTCCAGTGAGGAAGGAGGTTTCCGAATAATAGTCTTCAAAAGTTAAAGATAAATTAACAATCAGGTGTCAACACCTTTCACACGTAGAAGTGCAAATCCTGTACTACTTAGTACACTGGTAGAAAGTAGATGTCATGACACTACTTTTTGACTTATATCAAAAATCAGGCACTTCTGATGATAAGCTGCCTTCTTATTCATGACTACATCTAAGCATAAAGATACAAGGTAGCTTGAAGAAAATTTCAAGAGGTATGTAGCATGTAGATCCACATAAATGAGGAAAGACTAGTGATTCTGAGAAAACATGACTATGAAGACCACTCCAACAGTGACCATTGCAAACAAGGGGGTGAATACTGAAAATCTCTTCTTGTTTTGCATTACATTGCAGGGTAAAAAAAAATCACACAAATAATAAATGCGTGGCATTGTAAAATTGCAAAATTCCACAAATCACAATGCTTTACAAAAGAGAAAACTCATAAAAATTGTCCATTTTCAAAAAAAACTGTGGCAAGCAGCAGGATGGTAACTGTTGTGAGCAGATGTGCTAATGTAGCACAATGAATGGTCCATCAGTCGAGACACCAAATAACTTTGACAGTTTCAACCTCCCGGGGTTGTGATTCCACTAACAACTGTCAAAGTAAACAAAAAAAGAATTTAAAAAATGGTAAGTTGAGAATAGTTTGTTTTACAGATAATTTAGCTGATATTATATCTACATACCTGATTCAGTCATTGTAGAGGGTAAACTTTGTTTAGCCTCTTCTATCATTATTGAACCTGAGTCAGCTGATGGTTTCACTGGAATACTGCTTTGCGTCACAGATGAAGGTGCTTGCGCTGATGATCCTAAAGTTTCAAGTGCTTTAAGTCGTTGAGAATCTGCATTAATCTTTGAAAAAGGAAATAATCAGAGATAAGTAAACAAAATAATGCATGTAAAAGAGCTTGAAACCTAAGTATAGTGCATTACCTGGTCCTTCAATCTCAACAATGTGATGTTCAGTGCATTTTGGGTATCAGCTTTGGCACATTCCCCTTCTAGAGTTTGAATTCTTGCAGTAAAATTCTGACCTAGATCTTGCAGCAGCTCAATGGCTTTCTGAATGAAATTTTAACACAGATATTTTAAAATTTTGTTATGATAATGTGCTACTAGTAAGAGGAAAAATATATAACATACGTACATGATCTTTAACTTGATCGTCTTGCAGCCATTGCAAGCGCTTAGTTAGAGTAGAATTAGTTTCACTGATATTGGCAGAGGTTTGAGCTATCACTTGGCGAAGACTCTCAAGTGTATGAGCTACATTTGGCTCTAAAGGTGGCGGACGGAGTGAAGCATTTGAGAGTTGGGACACAGAGCCCTGGAGGGAAATATATTTTTAGTTGATGCAAAAAGAAAGCGATACGTCGTTTGGGCAAAGTTTCACTTTACATTTCAGTTGGTCCCTTACCTCTACAATGGTCACATTTTTCGAAAGTGTCTGCAACACTGAATCCAGTGAAGCTTGCTGTTGCTTTAGGGAGCGTACTGTATTATCTAGATCTTTGATTTGAGACCCCCAGAGAGCTACATTTGCTTCAAGTTCCTTCACATTAGATGGTTCTGGGTTGGACTGGAGCTTCTCTGAACAGACTCGCAATCCTGTCTCCACAACAACGAGCTAAAAAAGGAAAATAATTGTAATTATTCAGTTGGTTTGGAATTCCTAATCGATCCCTCTATATATTTTAATTATTTTTTTGCAAGCACACATATCAATTACCACTTACCTGTTGACTAAGATTGAATATTTGAGCAGTTATTGTGCTGACACGAAATGTAAGTTGAGTTTGGTTCTGTTGGATTTCCCTGGAGAGTGAGTGAATTTTCTGGAGATCATCAGGGACTGCCTGGCTTCCAGCCACCACTGCAATCAGAGTGAAACAGGACAATGATAGATGTCATTATTTCAAATGGTGTCAGAATAGTGCTCCTTGTGCTGACCAAACATTCTGCTTAAGTTTTCGGGATCAACGCTTCCCTTATCATTATTTTACTGGAAGCAATGACATTATTCTCCTTGCGACCGTTGTAGCGGTCCATAGCCGACCTTGCTCGACCTCGGTGCGGAGAGAGAAGACTTGCTCCCGGACGTCGATGAAGAGCCACATGACGGTGAGGGTGGCGATGACGCAGGCCAGGACGAGCAGGCCGACGCAGGCCCGCACCACGCGGGCGCAGGGCGCGCAGGGTCGGTGGCGCAGCAGGTGCGGGTGCGGGCCGCGTCCCGGGCGCCGGCCCTTGACGGCGAAGCCGGGGGTGTAGCCACCGCCACCGCCCAGGCTGTAGGCCGAGTAGCCGGGCTTGCAGAGGGACAGCCGAGTCGAGTCGTCGCCGGAGCTCTCCGACAGCAGCTGGTCGTGGCTGGACAGCCCGCCGCCCGCGCCCTGGCCGCCGCAGCGCTTGTGCAGCACGCCGCCGTTGGCCCCGCCGTTGGCCGTGGTCGGGCACCGCTTGGCCAGGGCGTCCAGCTCGCGCCGCTTGCGCATCTTCTTGACCCCCGCGCCGCCCGAGCCCGGCCCCGCCGCCATGAAGGCCCCCACCGCCGTTGCCATGCTGCCGCCGGACACGGACCCCGAGCGCAGCGGCACTCGCAGCGGCACGCCGCCGCACTCCATCTGGAGGGAACTGGTTAATAGGGACGTCGGAATTATGAACGACGATTGAAATGGCTCTGCGGCTTTGGACTATGCGATACCGTAAGATCCCACTAGTGTCACACGAGAGGTTATGGTCGTTCCCTTCTTGGTGTCCCCGATGGCGTCTAGGCGCGTGTCCATTATATATTTTTCGACCTACGCGGTTACGACTAGCGCGTACATACAAAATTAAAATAATCGGGCAAAACGAAATAAAGCAGTAATAAAAATAATCGGCAATATTGAGCACGCAGCTAAATTCTTCTTTCAAAACACAAATGTGAATGTGAATAAGCGAACTCGCAGGTCGCACTTCGTCGGACTCCGACTTGCTCGGAGTCCCTAACTACACATCCTCATGAATTCGCCTCGTCCTCAAGCCGACCCCTTCGGCAGCAGCTGTGGCTGACGCACCATGCTTGACGCGTTTTCGTTCACCACCCCGCCTTCTGATCAACACCCCGCCCCATTGCCGCTCCCGCAACACAGCGCGGGGGCGGTTCTCTGGCAGGCCGCGCTGCCGAGGGAGGCTGGCGGCCGCTGGCGGCTCGCGAGTACGCCGCCGAGGACACGCGCGAGTCCTCGAGGACCGTCCCCGACCACCGTCCTCCACCCCTAGCTCCCCAAGACGTTGGTCCAGCGCGCGGCTACAACGGGGGGCTTCAGGGCGACGCGGCCAAGAAGGACCACGGCGTCGCGCCCCTCGTGGTGCAGGCCGGGCACCTCCCGCGGGCACCCCCAGGTACCTCAGGACGCCGTGCGGCGGTCTCTAGACGGCGCGAGCGGCGTCAGAGCCATGCCCTGAGCAACCGCCACAGTAAACGATACGCGATACGAACGGCGACGCGGACCGTGCGCGTTCAAGGCTGGGCGCTGACTGACTGGGCCTCGGCTACGGCTCCGGGCAGCGCGGGGCGGGGCGGCCAGCAACACCACCCACACGCAGCCCCCACCCCAAGCACAGGCTCGCCCCGCTGTCACCGCCGTTAGAAATATTGCCGCGGTGAATATAACGCGCGCGCAAGGGCGCCAAGGACCCGCTAGGGCCCGCTAGGACCCGCCAGGACCCGCCGGGGCGCGAGGTGTTAGTCTTAATATTTTATCAATTCCTGCCACGTGCTTGCTTGGCCGCTCGCCGCACCTCTCCGAAGACCTGCTGCCCACCCCTGCCCCATACATCATATGCGGCGACCGGAGAAAATAAAAGAAATAGAAAGAGGGACCGGACGGGCCCTGCTCCCCGTTTACAAGCTAGTCCGCCCGCACTCAGCAATAACGATAAGCCCTCGTGCTGATTGTTTCGGCCCTACTGCTCCCCCACCCCTCCCCCTTTCATACCCCGCCAGGCCCGAGTCTGCAGCAACGCCCTGCACAACCCCACCGCGCGGCGGGGAAGTGACTGTGGGGCGCGGGCTCGTCCGGGGCCTCCATAGAAAGCCGCGCGGTGGCTCTAGTGAGCACGTCTAGGAGGGCCCCGGGGAGCACGGAGGGCAGAGAGGCGGCCCTCACAACGGGGGCCCGGGCAGGGCGCGCGGGGATGTGGCGCATTGATCGAAGACGCGGAGGGGGGGG